TCCTCGTACCATCTGTTACACTTTAGTGCTTTATTCAATCTATTGCTAGATTAGTAAGATATATAAGACAGAATTAAAAATGTTGAATGAAAAAGTGCAATAAAAGAAGAGCAGAAAATAGAAGAGAGAGGAACGAGAAGAAAATTAACTTCATAAACTAAATGATCTGATATCATCTAGTATCATTATAAATATGTTTACATATGGTTACATCAAAGCAATGTTAGTTTCGTATCATACTTTCTTCCACTCTATACTGATTGCCATTGTTTTCAATTCAGATTCCTCGTACCATCTGTTACACTTTAGTGCTTTATTCAATCCATTGCTAGATTGGTAAGATATATAAGACAGAATTAAAAGTTGAATGAAAAAGTGCAATAAAAGAAGAGCAAAAAATAGAAGAAAAACAGAGGGCAGAAGAATGAGAAGGAAATTAACTTCATAAACTAAATGATATGAGATTATCTATCATTATAAATATGTTTACATATGGTTACATCAAAGTAATGTTAGTTTCGTATCAAACTTTCTTCTACTCCATACTGATTGCCATTATTTTCAATTCAGATTCCTCGTACCATCTGTTACACTTTAGTGCTTTATTCAATCCATTGCTAGATTGGTAAGATATATAAGACAGAATTAAAAGTTGAATGAAAAAGTGCAATAAAAGAAGAGCAGAAACTAGAAGAAAAACAGAGGGGAAAAGAATGAGACGGAAATTAACATCATAAACTAAATGATCTGATATTATCTAGTATAATATTATGAATATGTTGAATAGAAATGAAAGTTATAACATATGCCTGGATTTCGAAACACAATGGTCACTTGTAAAGATCGTAGTTTCAATTTTTCTGCGAAGTAAATAGCGAAGGACGTCGAAGTGAGAGTAAACGGTGAGAAAAAAAAGAGAAGAGAAAAAAAAGAGGAAGAAGATGAACAGCGGCAATCCGATCAATCTTGATTCTAGACGGTTATCCACATCTATGAAAACGAAAGGAAAGTGGGGAAGAAACATTGGACGTAGTGGGGACCAACGGGGTATACATCGTGGCGAGTTGCCGAAGAGCTGCAGTGTTTCGCGGCGGAGACACCATTTCGAAGGAAAATCGAAAAAGTATAGATTCTCGTATCTCAGTGACTCAGTGTATGGATATAAACTTTGCTAGATTATCCAAATTGAGAGAATAAAAATATGATCGCAGCGTCTTTTCTAACGACATTGGCTATAGTTGCCACAGCGTGTAAGTACTGCGTTTTGGAATAACATGCTTAAAATGATAAAGAGAAATTATAAAGAAACATTTCTTCTTACTATTAAAGAATATTAATTATTCAAATTTTTATTTTGCATACGAACGATTATATTATATTTCCAATAAGTAAGCAAATTATTTTCTTTTATATTATTATTTCTATACTTTTTTATACTTTGCTCGTACTAATGAAAATATATATTTTTGTAAATTCAGAAGTAATCCGAGCAAAGTTTCTTGAATTTACTTTGCATGTATCCAACTGAAAGAGTACGCGTTAATTACTCGAGAAGGAAAAGAATGGTTTCACTGAAACAGATCTCAGACTTTCTCTTCATTCCTCGGCCGCACGATTTGCCACAGCTTCTGAAACCGCTTCTAAAACCTGCAAAATTTCATAACTATTTAAATATCTGAAACTTGTTGCCCATCCCGCGGAGAAAAATGATCTTTCAGTAATCCTAAAGATATTAATTTCACCTGGAGAGTGTATGCAAGAGACAGTCGGACTAAACTTTCTAAAGCGTAAATGTCAGATCTGCTACTCGCTGGGTTGCGTAAGTGGTTATCGTCTCTGAACACATGTAAAACCGATAAATTACACGATGAAATAAAACAATACCGATCGAGATTGAGATTTATGGGGCAGAAGGAGAAGTTAGGCTGGTTCAACTACCTCGCGTATGCTACAGGCACTTCACGCCAAGCTACTTTATATGCTTCTTGAAGCGTGGCATTGATTTCCGGTATATCTTGCAAAGTAAATGCCACGAGTAACGCGGAGAAATTTAAGAAATTTGTTCCAGTTTCTTTCTCTCTTTGCGTTCTCGACTTTACAGAGAGTGAAAACAAGTCACCTGGGAGTAGGATTTTCGTCGACATTTTCATCTATCTGCCCTATCAATTTCCCTGTGATAAAATATTCTGTTTAAATAATTTCTCTGATTTATTATACCTTTCACTATGATCTTTCGCTCGCACATTCGTACATATTTCACGTGATTCTTAGTATCAATCGAATTGCCATAAACACTCTGCAGTTTTCACTATACAATAGAAACGTCGCGTTGAAATATCTGAGAAATGAAAGAAAGTGAAAGTTTTATATTTGTGAATGTACGCGGACGACCAACAAATCGGCGTCTCTTAAATAAACATTGCGTTTGAAAAGAAAACGGGGAAAATTTCATTACTGCATAAAAAGAGATACACTTTCATTTATGTGAAATTTGTTACAGACGGTGCATTCAATTGCCCGAGTAAAGATGGCCAGTACGAGGATTCAAAGCAATGCGACAAATACTATGAATGCATCGATGGCATTGCCAGGGAGAAGCTTTGTCCAGATGGATTGGTCTTTGATCCGCTCAACCGTAAAGTGAACAAATGCGATCACGTGTTCAACGTTGATTGTGGAGATCGTCTCGAATTACGTAAGATCATCGTTATTATTACAATATACTCTGAAAAGTTATTAAGATAGTTATTGAAAATAATTCTCAAAGTTACACGAGAATTTAGTAATTTTTTTTTATTAATAACGTTAAACATAAACTCTGAAGACCATCGTGATTTGATCATTTTCTATAAATCTTGATATAAATATACCTATAAATATAAATATAAATACCTTGCAATAAATATCTGTATCAAGTGCTGAAGATATTCGTTGGAATAAAATTGAGTGCGACACGTTATGCGTGTCATTGGCTTTTGCGGTTTAATGCCCTTGACATACAGGATTCGATAACGATGAAAGTGCTTTCGACATTATTTATGTTTCTTTCACCGGTGCAGAACCACCTCAACCGACCAAGAAGTGCCCGCGAAGAAACGGTTTCTTCGCTCATCCAGATCCGTCTGTTTGCAATATCTTTTACAACTGCATTGACGGCGAAGCTATCGAGATTACGTGCACCACTGGACTGCACTTCGATGAATATAGTGGCACGTGTGTGTGGCCTGACAGCGCTGGTCGAGAAGTAAATACCGTCCTGTATTTTAAACGTATACAATTTGACATTCATTGCTTTAGACTTGAAGCTGGGAATATCCCATATTTTTTTATATGGGAAATATATATGATAGTATATATAGCAAATGAAAAATGTGTACCGTAGCAACAATCTGCTCTGCACAGACTATGTACATATTTCTATATTTATTTCTGTAGGGATGTGGTGTAGTAGACAAGAAGTTGAAAGATGGTTTCGAATGTCCGAAAGAAAGTCAGGTCGACACTAGAGGAATGGTTGTCGATCACCCTAAATTTGCCCATCCAGATGATTGTCAGAAGTTCTATGTCTGCTTGAATGGAGTAACGCCACGTGAACAAGGTTGTAGCGACGGCACTGTCTACAACGAGGACCAGCAAAGATGCGATGCACCTGAAAATGTCCCCGGCTGGTACGTATAATGATTAATTTACAAAAAAAAATATATGTGTAAATTTATGTAGTTATAAAGAAAATTTAATTAAAAAATTATACCTTTTTCATAGTGAGGATTGGTACAAGGACGATGACAAGAAATCATAAAAAACCTTCTGAATTTATGTGTCCCGCATCGGGATTCTTGATATCATCATAAAATCACATCATCCTTGTTCAACGCGTAATCATTCATAATTAATAAATTTTGTTTCATCTTACTCACGTTAGCTCTTTTGGTATTTTCTTTCATCGCTTATCCCTTAACTTATTTTACAGTATTATTGACAATCAATAATATAATGTATTTCTTAACAGCCAATCTATATTATTACACACTCATTATCTGCTCTGAGAAATATTAGCAGGGAAGCTGGTTTGTACAGATTTTATAAGACACAAGTATAGAAATATGTACGAAATGTCTTTGAGTTTCCTTTCGTAACTAACGAAGCGTATCGGACGTAACTTTCTCCTGGACACTTTATCGTTTTTTTATTCTTAAATTCATCGACAGAAGACTTTCGTGCTGACGTACTTTTTATACGCATATATTTTCTGTCCAATGTATGTCGAGCGTTTGATTTCTACTTAATATTTGAGATAAATTAATAAGAATGTGTGAAATTAATTGAACACCATAATAATTAACTAAAATATTGGTTCCTTACGAGCTGTTTAAAATATCGAGATGATACATTCTGCATGTACATTCTATAATTTCATCGTGTAAAAGATACTTGTGATAATTATAAACAGAGAGATAGGTATGACCAATCTAAACTTTCCAAACTGTTTCCTGATTACATTGTACTTGTGTAATTGCACGGCATTCATTTATACCCGATTCAATCTAAGCTGAAATTTCTTGCGTATAGCAAGGATCAGCTGAATCTGGCTTGATTGTAACAGTACCTTAAAGTGCCGTGTAGAGAGAGGGAAGCAGGAACTCTCCGCTCTGCAACAGTTAAAATTTAATCGCGATAAATAAATTACCAGTTTTTGGATGGCCATAAAAATTAATAACACATTCGTTCGACGTTCCCGCATGAAAATATCATGTTCCATAATATTTGCAATTTCCATAAGAAAAGCAACAGTTCCATAATATTTGCAATTTCTGAAGAATGATTTACGATCAGATTATGATAGGAACGGTGCATTTTCGCAAGGATATTGGGAAATCACTGGTTACCACACGTGTTTGAAAAACGTTTATATCTTCTGGATTAAAGGTTAGGTCATATTTCGAAGGAGAAAATTATTTTTCTCTACGACATTGATTAAGAACGGAACAAACATGTCATTATATGTGATTTTGTGTCTCACGTTCTGAAATACCGACCATGAAAAAACACAGAGTGTTTCTTACGCCCTCTATAATTTGCTACAGTGAATTATATCCAACTCAATCGTCACATAGACGATAAAATCAACAGCATTGTCCTTCTTACGAAACGGTCAACTGCGAATACACGGTGACTTTGAAACAGTATCTAGTATAATAGAAAAGTTTTGTTTAATATAATCACATATTACTAAATTGAATAAGTTGAACTCATTAAATTTTGAACTATGATGTAAAATCGAGACACTTTATTTTAATTTAGATAAAAGTTTAATATAAAAAAATAGAATTAAAGATACTTTGATAGATTGATTGTCTTGTTTAATAAACAAAAAAGATTTAAAAAAGGAAATTGTTTTATTTTTTGTCTCCAGTTACACAATGTATGTACATTCATAAAAATGCGCGCTTAACTAAAGATTACAGCGCCAATAAAACGGTGAAATGTGCAATTAAAAAATGTATGGTTCTCTATCTATATATATTGGAATGCAATAATATTTACGAGTGTCAAGTTTAGGCGGGAAGCATAGCAAAAGTATTTAGTATTATTCCGAAGTTTCTACGTAAAGATTACTTTAATTTACGTTAATACTTTTTAGATTCATATTTGCGTTATCGAGGACGTTAGCTTTAGCTTAACAGTGAGCTTTGTTTGAAAGAGTTATTATATATGTATATTCAATTTAGTTCTTTGGTTAGAAATGTGTGTGTATAAATATGTGTATATTTAGAAAGAAATGTGTTGTATGTGTTTTTATATCCTTATATAAGTGTGATTCATTAAAGTATTTGAATAAGTCTTCGCTTAGCATTATATTATAAATATGCGATTGAATATATTCTTATTCGATACATCTTTTGCTTT